ATCGTTCATACATTATCGCATTAGCAAACAATAGAAAATATTTGTTTTAATAATCCGTGATTGTTCCAACTGTTATCAATGATCGTCTCATATGCAAATTGACAAATTTATTTTAATTACCGTCATAAGATGATTAATTTATAAAATGTTTTACTAGATGTGTGTGTGTTTGGCTATTCCAATTTTATAATCATTTCGACGTATTTTTAGATTACATTTTAAATAATTGAAGGAATATTATTATTGTTTGCACTATGCTGTCCTATTACATAAGCTTGACTACTTTGACACTTTAAAATTATCATAAATGTTTGTCACTTTACCTTCTTATTCTACTTTCGAATGGCGTTTAAATCATTCGGTCAAATAATACGCACCTTTCGCCCCCCTCTCTCACTCTCTCTCTCTCTCTCTCTCTCTCTCTCGCTCACTATATATCTATTATTTCGGCAACGAATTCTCTTACTTTTATTTTTACTTTTGCTTTTGCTTCTGCATTTCTTTCGAGAGTTATAATTAAGCACACCGTGGTATCGCCATTTAGATGTTCCACGTATATACTCCAAAGTGACGCCATACTCGATTATTTTAAGGTTGTTCCCAACATCTGTCTACCACTTTTCAAAGTCTTTATACGTAGCAATTTTAGATCGGCTTAATTACTTCGTTTTTCAAAGTTAATCATTTCCACTGAACCTGATATGATGATTCTGATCAACTTTTATTTCTCTAATTTTGTAAAATTTATTTCTCCATTTTCAAGATAACGGGCAAGCTTTGCTCAATGGTAGTCGAATCATTTTTACGCAAAGACCGTATAAAAATTTAGTGTACTAGATAAAACAAGCAAATGTATTAAACATATTGAAAAATTTTCTTCCGTCATTGTAGAATAAAAAGGCGCTTTTTAAAACGATTCTTTATTTCTATAAAAATAAATAAGCAAAAATGAACTTTCAACGATATATATTAAATATAATATAATAAGTATTTATATTGCACAAAAGTATCGAAAGAGAATAGTTAATTGTAATGATATTTTCATTATCCAATTATTAATTTCTAATTTCGTTGATGCTCACTCATAGTTTCTCTTATTCTTATGCTCTTCAAACGTAATCTAAATGTAGATTTTGAAAAGCTATGAAATTATATTTAATTAAAAATAGGGTAAAATTGTAAAAATTTAATTTGAACAAATCGATGAATTTAACATTGCGATACTTAATTTTAATTTTGATTTTAAAATTATTAAAACTTTGGCATAGCAAGCTTCCAATTTCAAGTTTTATTATTATACAGAATTTTATGAAACGTCTATGAACTCGAAATTCTTAAAATACTATATAAAAAGAAGCAAAAAAAAAAAAAAAAAAAAAAAAAAAAAAAAAAAAAAAAAATAAAAAAAAAATAATTCATCAATCTATAAATTAAAAAAATATTTCTCTATTTAATTATCCAACAGTATAAATGTATAATTCATAATTTTATAATAAGATAGAAAGCCAATTGTTTTGTTCATAAATAGTAATATTTTTAATAGACAAACTAAATCAGATATAATCAAAAAATAAATTTGTTCATATTCACATAGATTGTACAAGATTACTGTAAATGCTGTTCTTTCATTTATCTTAGAAGTTTTTACGTGGCAGAGATATTATAAAGAACGGTAAAATTTTTCTTGATCTTGTACGAAAGGAGAATGAAAGAGAGAGAGAGAGAGAGAGAGAGAGAGAGAGAGAGAGAGAGGGATCGAGAGAGGGATGGAGAGATCGAGTGAGTGAAAGAGCTGCTTGAAACTTTATAACCTTCTCAATTAAGCCACGTGACGTTTATTATTGGGTTGATCTAGTAAATTTTACTTTTCAGCATTTCTTCCGTAAATAATTTAATATTAAAAGATGAATTCCTGCTCATATAAATAAATATACCTATACTGTATTATACATTGATTTATTATTACAAAATATTTAATTATTATTATCAATGATAAAATGATTTTTCTTTAGCATGAGGGAATTAACATGAAATAGACTTTTAACGCTTAAAATTTATACTCCGTCCATGTACTCGATAATTCACTTGAAAAGTCATCGAAATACTTGCATTAAGGATATATAATATTTTTGAGTAATACTTTATCCTGCATGATTATTTTAATTTTACCAGAAAATATGCAATATCTTTCTTACTAAAGTCATTAGTAATCTTGCATTATTAATATTTGAACAAACTTACTAAAATAGGCATAAAAATCTTTCATTTCGTAAAGCTTTCATTAAAAATAAAAAGGAAAAATAAAAAAAAAATGTAAAGAGAAAAGCATAAAAAGCGTTTATGCACCGTATCGCCGCTACATTTACAAGCTATTAATACAAGAATCTTATTCAAAATTTCCATCAACGGTCGATCATTCTTCATAAACATTTTATGAAAAATCAGTGGGTTAACGTTGACTCGAGGAGGCACGTTGTGACAATTTGAATTCTCTTAAAAAGCGTTTATCATAAAACGTTGTCTCTCTCTCTCTCTCTCTCTCTCTCTCTCTCTCTCTCTGTCTGTCTCTTTCGCTTAAAAGCTCATACTCCCCGATGATATATATATATATATATATATATATATTTTACCAAGCGATGCGAGTGATCGTCACTTTTAAAGGAGATGTTATATTTACCGACTTTCACTCGGGCATAACTTAAGCAATACACACGTCGCATTAAAAAAGTCTTCGTGAGGCCTCGACCGGCCTTAACCTTGAAGACCTTCATAGAAGGGCGAAGCAGGAAGTCCCCCCGTTTCCTCCCTCTCCTCCCTCCAATCGCCATGGTCTATGCGGTCAGCCAAAGGGTTACGAGCCTTGAGCAGGTCCGTGCGCATTTTTTCGCCCCAGCTCTTAACCGGGACTCGGGCGTTCGAACCGACGCCGCAACGACTTCCCGAAGGTAGACGAGAGGATTAGCCTAGCGAAGGACGCGATGGCAAAACGGAGCGAACGAGAGGGGAGAGTGCCGGACCGTCGTTAACCCTTCTGCGCCTCGTTTTATAGCTTTATAGTGTCTCCCGAGGAGAGTTAGCCTCCATTGACCACGCGGGTGGAGGTTCTTCGGGTCTTCGGGCTCTTCATCCGGGCAGAGGCTCCGTGAGACCGTTGGACGTCGGGATCCGACGGGTTCGTCGAAATATTTATTTCCCCTCTCATTTGAATAAGCCTGTACTTTTGAAATATCGATGCTTTACTCTCGCACCAAGTCAATAATAATGTCCGTAATACATATATTTTTTTTTTGAAAAACATTCTATCGGCCATTGATATTGGTCGTGTGTTGTAAAGAAATTCTTTCTAAGCATTTGTAGTTTTAGTAAGTGATAATTTCGAAAGCAGAGAGTAGTTTGCGAGAGGGCAATATTACCTTTAATAATATTATCCGATCGTGCAACGATTAACACGATTCTTTAAAGTTTTAATTCGCCTACGCGCTCGTGTCAAACTGTATTTAGTCAATGTATTGAGAAAGTGTGTTGACATTATTTTTATGCCTTTTTTCCCCCTCCTCTTCTTTGAGGAATCACGTGACAATAAATAGTGACAGGCAAGCGAGGCAACTTTATATTACTTTGTCGTGTAACTGTAACGAGAGGCAAATCATTATTGTAAAACATTATTGTATTAAGATCGTTAAAGCAAAAATATAACAGGCGGAGACGCGGTCGTTCAATTCGTCATTAAAGGATTTATTATGTTAGTAAAGTAGCGCATAACCGACAATTTCTACAGGCACTTTAACATTTTGTTGTTGTCGCTAATAAAAACGGCAAAGAAATGTGAAAAGCGGAGCAATTCACATGTGCGCAAAATTATCGTGTATTACAAATGTTTCGCACCTCACTTTTCTCAACAAATGTCATATAAATGCCTCCTGCACTACTAAGAAGCATCATAAGAACTCAAATTACCCGTCAAGTGCACATTTTTATTTCTCCTTTCCTCGAGACGAAGTTCATGTGGTAAGGTGACGACTGCTACTACAGAAAGTCATTCGGCTTTACATTTATCTTTTCGCACGTGAATATATACAGCCGTACGTCGAAAAATATACATTTATTACTTTCGTGTATTTTAATTATCAACACGGATAATTGTTATATTGAAATTTACTGCACATTAGCCCGTCCCTATATTTTATGCAAATAAATTATTTACCTCGATTTCAGTTAAATGCATATACTACGCTGACGTACAAGGGAGTTTATCCTCGTATTATCATATCGCTACGCTATCAACATTTTCAAAACATCTTGATATCGACTCATTCCTTGTACGATTAAGCATAATCCACTTAGTTATACGTAATTTAAGTTAATCGTCACATATCACGTATTTGACATGAAACATATTCTCTAAGTTAATTCTGAAATGATAGTTAGTTGAAAGATTATTGACGGATAATCGGACGGACATAACCGACAAAGACATTAGGCTAGATTGATTCAACGAATATTTTAATTATTTCAAAATAAAAATGAAAACAGAAGCAATTAAGGGGAAAATACAATAATAGAATTTAAATACGCTTAAATGAAAGTACAGGGAGTAAGACTTGGAAGTGTGTATTCGTAAGGAATCGTACATCGCCTATTCTAATAATAAATCTTTTTTTTCTAAATATCGCACGGGTCGATCTAATGACCAGATCACTACCAACTAATTCCCATTAAAGCCCAGAAGTATAATAGTTTAATATAGCGAGTACGACACTCACCACGCCGCTCCATAATTAATAATTTAGCTATTATTAAATAAATGTCGCATGATGTTGTGGTGGTGGTGGTGGTGGTAGAAGAAGCGAGAACAACCACAGTCGGCACACACAATTATATATATTTTTTTATAAACACTCGCGCGCGCCCGCGCGTGTGTGTGTTATGCGGCATGCTCGCGCTTTGTTATATGTTATTTAAGAATCAATGCTACCAACAAGAGGTAGGCGAGCACAGACCTACTACCCAGCAAACTATAAAGTCCCATTACATCGGTCGTAAAGTCAATAAAGCCGGTCGCATTTGCCCTTCGCGTCTTCCGTCCCAATGTTCGCGGCGTCAACCTCGTGTTCATCGGCATCGACAATGTCGGCATTGGTAGCGCCCGATGATCATACGAATATTCAAAACTCGTGAAATTTGGACGTGGTACGGCGGGGGGAGAGAGATGCAAGGTCTCTCGGTTCGCAGCACATGATCCTCTCTCTCTCTCTCGGTTTAAGAACTAAGAGTGAGAGAGAGAGAGAGAGAGAGAGAGAGAGAGAGCCGCTATTTACGAGGCCAAGCAAGTATTCGCCTGTGCAGGATATTTAAACGGAAAAATGGGCTTTGAATCGATGCTTGAAATCATATTCGAATGCTGTCTCTTAACACACACGCGCGCGCGCGCGCGCGCACACAAACATGCAAACGCTCTTTCTCTCGCTCGCGGTTTATAAATACATTTATCGAGTAATAATTTATCAACCCCTCCAAAAGTCAAGGTGGATTCATATATTTTTTTATCGAAAGCTCTTTATTCGTAAAAATACTTCAAAAATTACGCGACCTTGACAATCTGTAAGAACTCTTTTGGGTAAAACCGATGTTTATCAATATCTTTTTACCAATTTGTTAGATTAATTCACTCTATATTAATCTGCTTGTGAACTTGCAATTAAAAAAGGAAATTGTCAGGGGCTTTAGCGATATCTAATGGTTAGTTATACGATATTTCAAATATTTCTCAATATTGCAATAATCCCAAATTTCAAATTCATTTTTTTTTTCTTATCTCGCGTAAACGTGAATTTAGGCACAATAATTATTTTGTTAAATTACTTGATTAGGAATAACTCAACAATTTATTGACTCACTGATGATGAGAACGTAATTGTTCATATTACTGTACTATTTTACCCAAATTTTACCCAAAACGCCAGCATATAATTCATATTATCGAAGTTTAATTTATAAAAATTCATTGGTCAATTAGTGTATCATGAGCTGCAAATACATAATTTAGAATAAGCCATAATCTTTTCGTAGTTAGATTCTTTGATATTGTACGAATGAGTTAATTAAATTTTTTACATTCGTAAAGCTTTAAAGTTTACCTTAATAACATTGATTTAATTTTATTAATTGGTGTACTTTTTTTTAAGAATTAATTCACCGTAATACTCTATTATTATTATTATTATTATTATTATTATTATTATTATTATTATGGTTTTTTGTTTTCTGTTTTCTGCTTTTATCTTTTTCTTCTTTTCTTTTTTAATATGAAATAATGAAAACGTTCGTATCTACTCGTGCAATTTAATGCTGCATTTGATAAGTATTCATTGCGCACGGAGTTTTTTTTTTTCATTAAATGTATGTTTGACATTAAAACTTTTCATGAAAAACCTCGGATGCCTAAATCATTTGATTATACAATAATATAAGCGTATAGTATTTAGAAGACGCGCGATGAAATTTAATTTTTTCAATTATACACAAGGAACGTGGCTATTAAGTAGATAAAGTCTACTAGCTTAAGCTGTCTAATTGCTAATAATTTAAGAATGGTAATTAAATAATACCTGCATTTTAATTTAATGACTATGTAAAATTATTAAATTTAAATTATGTATTATTAAGTTAAAATATGAATACATTATCATACAAATTTGCCTTTGTTGCTAAAAACGTCGATCGTAGCATAAGCCCCGTATATTTCAGCTTTGTCAGTTATATTTATGATATTTTTATTATATGAATGTAAAACATTGCGCGCGGGAAATAGCAAAGGGCATTTTGACGAATGCCAACTGTCGATTCCAAGTGAATTTAACAGCTCGCAAGTGTAACTTATGGTGTACGTCACTCATGATGTATCATATTGATACTTTGATTATTATTTGGATGCCATCGATAGTACCAAGTTGTCGTAATACTTTATATGGATATTATTGAAAGAAAGCAAACTATAAATAAATAAATAAAATAAAAGTTTTATTCAATAAATCAAGATGTCAAGCCATTGACGCTTATATTATACACAAGATGCGATAGTACAGGGTAAGTATTTATAATGAGAAAGTACAGAGGAGTGAATGGAACGTAAGAAGAACAAAGCCACATTCATCGTAAAGCTAAATGTTTCGACAATGCTATCGAGTGGAAATTCCTAAACATCCGCCGAAATCCTTTTAATCCTCCACGTGATGTCCGTCTGGTGCGCGCCGATCTCGAAGCATTGAAACAGAAGGACCTTTGTACTTTTCCTCTTAGGCATTATGGGCGGTGAACGCGTCTGGGCCGGTGGCGGTGATTTTTGTTTCCTTCTTTTCTTTTTTTTCTCCTTTCCCTCCATCGGCTGCTCTTCGCCGAACCGTAAGAGACGAGGGAGGAGGAGGAGGAGGAGAAGCAGCAACGCGGAGCGAGAGCGAGAGAGAGAGAGAGAGAGCAAAAAAAAAAATTAACCCCTTTGGAGCCGCGAGCGGTTTCTTTATGGCAGCCCGATGCGGCTGCGACGTTGGGGGGGGGGGGGGGGGGGGGGGGGGGGGGGGGGGGGAGCCGAGTCAAAGCTTGGCCATCCGGTGATGAGTTGACTTTAATTCCATTAGGTACGTGACAAAAACGACGAGAAGCAAGGATGAGGATGAGGAGAATGAGGAGGAGTAGGAGGAGAAGGATGAGGAGGAGAAGGAGGTGGAGGAGAAGGAGGTGGAGGAGATGGAGGAGAACGTGGAGGAGATGGTGTAGAAGGAGGAGGGTGAGAGAAGGGAGAGGGACAGAATATTTATGAGCTTTCACGAAGCGGAACCTACGAAATAGCGCGCACAAAAGCACACGAGTCGGGACCGGGAATACGCGGCTGGATATTGCAAGCCACATTTCCCATCGTCGCGCGTATCGCAGGCCTGCAGTGCGCGTTGCCGCTTCTCCCGGCTTCACCCGGCCTCCCCGGCGCTCCTTCATTCTCCTTTCTTTCCTCACCCCGGAGGCTCTTTCGGCCGACTCGCTCGCCCTACCACCACGCGGCTCTCGCCTTGTCTTTCGGCATTCGCCGTCTCGTTCTATTTGCGAGCCCCATTCTCGCTTCGCCCCGCGACCTCTCGATATCTAGCGACTCTCTGCGCGTGAGCTAAATGAGGCCCAGGAGGCGTCCGCTCGGGCTCAGAGGGCGTGGATGCTGCGATCAATAATGCAACTCGCCGCTGAGGAAATTCAGTAATACACTTTCCACGCGTCCCCCGATGCCCGGCTAAGGAAGGCCAATGGAGCTTACGCTCGATTGTCCGTCGATTGAATAGCGCGAGAGGAGACTCGTTTTAATTGTCCGAGGGGAACGCTCGACTTTCACAACCGCAATTAATATGCAAAAATGCTGTGATTGCAAATTTAACGCGTTTAATTTTATAGGTACAAGTTGTGAATTGTGAATCAAGCCTCGAAGGCTTTTACTCTCTTAACAATGAATATATTGTTGGCCGGGATACGCACAGACACCACGGTCACAGACGTACAGCCGGGATCTATAAGCACAGATTTATGTCATTACGATATCAATGTGCCATGGTATCAAGCTGCAAGTATAATTATGCAATGAAAGGCAATAAAGTTCCGACGAGTGCTGTTAATTATTTGCCTCAGCAATAAGACGACATTATCGGTGGGTTGGAGGGGGGAGGAGGATTGGGC